ACAGTGCATAATATAATCAAAAGATTCAGGGAATCTGCAGAAATCTCTTTTCATAAAGTGCATGGCCAAAAACCACAACTGAATGCCTTTCATCCCTCAGACGGCACTGTATTAAAAAATCTGTGATGGATAACACTGCATGGGCTCAGGAATACTTTGACAAACTGTCTTTAATGAAGTTATTATGCACAGCAGGTGCTACATGTCAACAACGTCAAGAAACACCACCGACTTCTCTGGGCTGGAGCTCATCTGAAATGGACTGATGCACAGTGAAAACACCCATTTTCATCTGATGAGTCCACCTTTCCAACTGTCTATGGAAATAACAGAGGTTGTGCTCTCTGGGCCAAATAAATCATCCAGATTGTTACCAGCATAAAGTTAAAAAGCCAGCGTCTGTCATTGTGTGAGGGTGTATTGGTACCCATAGTATGGTTAACTTACAATCTGTGAAGACTCCATTAATGCTTGACAAGGGTAAATCACATTCTTTACACATTAAAACAGTGTGCCTGTGTAATCAGAGAGAGTGGGTGCTAGAATGGACAGTTTGAAGTCCAGACTTGTCTCCCATTAAAAAAACATGTGGTGCAGTTTACTGAACACACTTTATTAACACTTTAGGAAACAAAACGTCAAACCAACTGACATTTACTTTAAACAGCCCATTCCAAGACTGTTGTTTTCTTTGAAAACGTGGCTGGTGTTGTTCAAATTATTATTTGCTTGAGCAGTTTTGTTGCAGACATCTGCAGGTTTGCATCCACAATGCAAATTGCATGCTTGTGAGTTTATGATCCCATCAATGACCACAACCTCACAAACATTGTAAGAAAACAGACCCAGACCATGGAATTATACCATGGAACAGCCAGTCAGAATGGAGCTAATGTACCACATCATGTCAGATTATATCATTTCAATCAATGATTGAATTGATTGATTGATTTCCATGGACAGGAAAATAAAACAGAGGAGGAGAATGTTGCTTATTTTGTGGTAACATGTGGGATTGTACCTACATGCTCAGAGTCCTATGTTTCCAGGGCTGTACATTTAATCAGTTTTCATATAATACATCATACCTCAATATGATACATTAAAGAAAACTACAAAAGAGTTACTCAGGTCATAGTTGAGATCTTGGGGTCACCGAAAGTGACACAGGGGACAAAGAGGAACCAATTTTTCAGTAGGAGTACACTTTGCCTCAGCTAGTTTGTAAAGAAGACCGTTTTTTGAGAAGTGTAGAAAGTGAGTGAGAGAGTGTGGAATACAGAACAATTGCTGATACACTGTCCTTCTTGTTGCTTGTTGTGTAGCCCCTAGCTAGCTAACTGGCAAAGTAACACATTTACGGGAAACAAAAATAGCAGGAATGTTTTATAGACTGAGTAGTTTAGTACATTAAGTTCAGTTTGAACGTAGCAAATCAAATGTCATAGTTTTGAAGTATTACATAATAGACCAAATAAATGTCGTGTCAAATCAGATATCTGGGCAAGTTCTGCTCCTGAAGAAGGCATGACTGAAGAAGAAACTCAACAGAGGTAATATCGAGCTGAAACATGGGGCTGAAATATGGAGCAAAGGGAACATAGAGTTGTATATAAGACAATTTCAATGAGGGAACACAGGGCCCTGGGAATAAAGGATCTTGGGAATATAGGGCTGTTTGCTAGCCAGCTAATGTTAATATGAAAGTTGTCTGTTTAAGCTTGTGTTTGTTCTGCTTTGTTAGCCTAGTGCATCATGATCTTTGCATGATTAAAGGGTTCTTTGCATAATGAAATCATTCTTAAAAATGTGCTGTAGGTGATTCTATATAGAACCTTTTCGAAAACAGTTCTATATAGCACCAAAAAGTGTCTATCTATTGTTAGGATGTCAAGCTTGTAACAATAGGAGAACCCTTTTGGGTGCTATATAGAACACTTTTCAAAAAGGTTCTATATAGAACCATCTACAGCACATTCTCCATCAGTCTGAAGAACCTTTCATGATGCAAAGAACCCTTTAAATCATGCAAAGGGTTTTTTGAGTGTTCACGGTTATGGAACCATTTTCTTTGCTAAAGAACCCTTGAAGAACCATCTTTTTTAAATGTGTAGGTAGAAATCATAAATGATGCATGGCAGATGATTTAATACACCCAGAAGATTCTGACATCTACTAATCTTGCCAACTAAGATTAGCCAGTCTCTTTCATATAGCTATATCTTACCATTCAGGCTATATAAAGTCATCTGCAGTGTGTTTACATTTACATCTTCCATATTTCACAATACATAGATATAAATATTAATACAAAAAATATTTTAATTCATAAATACAGAGTTAGTAATAGAGCTACTACTCTTGCTAGCTAGTAGAACAACTGCATGTGTTGCATGCCACTCTGATTTTTTCTGAATTGCTTTGTGTAACTGTCAAGTTGGGAATAAATTATGTTTCAAGCCATTTATGACCTGCAACTAGTTTCACCATGTAAAGCCAGCCTGAGAGTTCATGTCTGAGCTGTTCCACAGGCCGTTATATATAGGCCATCGTTCTATAGGGGGCTGGTATAAAAGTACAGGAGCATAAATTGGCCTGGCAGGTGGGCTGACCTTCCCATCAGCCCACCTTGACGCATATCTGTTGCTTGAGGGTATTTAATAAAAGGGCAGCTGACCACAGCATGCAGCTTGACCGGAGATGTATTACAGGGCTGGACCCACAGCATGATTCGCGCAGGCAGACTGTTTCTGATGCTGCTAATGTCCATAGACGGCCATGCTTGACCGCTTCTTTCACCAGCACCAGAATAGAGATGTTAGTTGCAGGGTTGATCTATGGTACCCACACACTCAAAGAGGACAAGGAGCCGGTCTGGTTAAGGCAGAAGCACACTGGGTTCTTGTACAGTGATGTATGAGGCTGCATGTATGTGTGTGTGTGTGTGTGTGTGTGTGTGTGTGTTTATATGTGTGTGGCGTACTACAAGGTTGTACAGAAAGCAGTAAAGGTGTAAAGAGTAGGCGTTTTCTGAACGGCATCTTTACAAGGGCAGTGGTAAACCACTGATTGTGTGGCAGTTTTCCAGTACACTGCATTCCATAGGATGTTATGGAAAACAGGTTTATTATTCACTTATTTATCTTCTGGATTATTAATCAGAAAGAGCTATGAATTAGCCTGAGCTTATCTCAGCTACTGGTAAGTAACAGATAATAGCTACTCTAATTACATAAGCTCTCATAGGCTACTTGAGTACTTTGAGAATTTAGCTACACTACTTGTAATTTTACTTGAGTTTCTTCTAATAAAGTCTTTCAACTATTTTATAACCATTACAGACTAATATAAATATGTACTGTGTATAGAATGCTGTGCAAAAGTCAGAGACCACCCTTTGCTTATTTAATTTTCAGTCAAAACGGTCAGTAACTACAAGTTATACATTTTTTAGTGTCAGAAAAAAAGCAGAAACTTATATTTAATGGAAAATTACACAGAAGACTCAACAAGTAATATATTTTCCATATTTAGTGTGTTCACACTCTACCTTTATTACAGTGTCTATTTGTTTCAGGAGACTTGCTTTCAGTTTTTCAAAGAAATCTGCAGAAATTTTTCCATACCTCCAAAGTTCAGTCTTAGAAGTTACACTTTCTGCCTGCAATCTAAGAAACCCTAAAACATTCAGTGATGTTGAGGTCTGGATTCTGGAGTGGTCAGTCAGTTGTTCTGAGAGCACCACCAGCTTCTTTGTTTGATTTGCAAATTCTCTTCTTTTTTGTCTATTTTCTTTTCTCAGTAAGGACTTCTTGACAGCTACAAACCCTTTCAGACTCATAGTGTCGAGTTGTCTTCTCACAGTGGAAGGATGGACAGAAACACCTGTGGATTTTTCAGATCTGACGCAACAGTGGAGTCGATCTTCTCCTCTCTCTCAAAGATGAAAGCTTTAAGTACTGTTTGTCTGATAGGGACAGTTAGGTGGTCTACCAGACGGTCCACGTTGCACAGTTGTTAGGAGTCCTATTTTTATGTTTCAATAATTTTTGTTATGGAACTTCCAGGTTTTTCACTTATTTTCCTTTGACTATCTGCTTTATTATGTAATTGGATTATTGTTACGAGATTACATCTAATCACTGACATTTCTCCTGGTCTCAAGGTAGTTGATCAGCTGGACCAGGTGAAAACATACCCTTCGCTGTTCAACTGGTTAAGCTGGTCCACCAGCTTGTTCATACTGGTCAACAGAAAAAAACAAAGAAAGAAAAAAACACAGATAAAAACATACCCTATACTGGTCTACCGGTTTAACCAGTGTTTTTCAGCTGGGGCTTACCCCACAGCCTTCCAACATGAGGATGCATTGAGCTAGCTGGCTAACTAATCGTAGCTAAACAGCTACAGTTATCTTTTCCATTTTCTTATTATTTGTGCTTTTGAATACCAGGCAGTTCAGCTCTTTACTAAACATCAAGCGGTTATTTATTTGTTGTATTGTGAGTGCCTGTTAAATAGCTAAAACAAAGTTTTTAAAGTATTAGATCATTTATTTATCCACATTTTGGGGGTATTTGAAAAGTGTTAGCATCATAACTTTTGGCTGCTGCTACATGTAAATGCCATCCATTAGTGAATACCACAAATAGCACAGAATAGCTCTAACCTTAATGCGTACATTTCTCTGAAGCATGAACCATTTCTGGCATATTGTTATCTGTTGAAGAAGATTACATCCCCTGACAGTCATGAAAATTCAAACACATCCTCTACAGTCGCGCTAGAGAAGCTGGAGTCAGTGATGACCCAAGAGTGTGTAATTATTAAAAAAAGAACTTTCTCTATGAGTTACGGTAATAGACCAAAAAGAACCCCAGCTGGAAGCCGTCCTTCTCTCTTTACCGGTGATGAATTATTACTGTTTGTAAGGGAGGTTTGCTGGAGCCATCAGAGAAAACAGAGATCAAAAGAGGCTCAGAGAGAGATTCAACACTTACCACATCCAGCCCAGAGACACAGGAGAACCGCCAGAGCCTGCAGCCCACCGGCACCACACACACCCCCCATCCTGCAGAGGATACAAAAAACATTTTCAGATACAAAACCCAGAACACTGGCTGTTCATACGTATCAGGGAAAACACAGAAATGCAGGATGGGATGTCTAACCAACATGAAGGAGGATGCTTTGTTTTGAAGAGTGGTTGTTCAACACATCATATGGCATAGAACTGCATTCCCAGCGGCCAGAGAAAAAAATCTGTTTCTGGTATCAGTATGTCAACATCTTAAAATAATGACTTACTTGCTCAAAATATTGACTTAGTAGCTCAAAATTATGACTTATTTTAAAAATACTAATTAGAATTATTTATTTCCTCAAAATACTGAATTGCTGTGTAAAAATGACTTTTAATGTCAAAATCAAGACTTTCAAAATAATTATAACTTTCTTGAAATATAAAATCTTATTACTTTCACATAGTATCTCAAAATCTCAAGAAAGTATGTAATTATTTTGATACCGTCAATATTTAAAAAAAAAGTTATTATTTTGAAAAAACAAGTCATTACTTAAATATTGAGTCAACATTTTAAGAAAGTAAGTAATTATTTTGAGATATTAAGTCAATGTTTTGAAAAAAACAAGTCATTACTTAGATATTGAGTCAACATTTCAAGAAGGTAAGTCATCATTTTTAGATATTAAGTCAATATTTAAAAAATGAGTCATTACTTAGATATCAAGTCAATATTTTGAGAAAGTAACTCATTATTTTGAGATAAGGCAATATTTTGAAAAATTGAGTCATTACTTAGATATGAAGTCAGCATTTCAAGAAAGTAAGTCATTATTTTGAGATAAGTCAATATTCTGAAAAAACAAGTCATTACTTAGATATTGAGTCAACATTTTAAGAAAGTAAGTCATTTTTTCAGATATTCAGTCAATATTTAAAAAAATTAGTCATTACTTAGATATTGAGTCAACAATTTGTAAAAGTAAGTCACTATTTTGAGATATGAAGTCAATATTATTTTGAGAAAACGAGTCATGACTTAGATATTGAGTCAACATTTTGAGAAAGTAAGTCAATATATAAGAATATGTATCTTGGAGGGTGGACTAAAATGTACCTGTACAGTACCTGTTTGTTGATACTGTACACAGTAGATGTCTTTAATTACAAGTATGATTCACACCTTTATTCACTACTGAATTAGCTTGGCACTAAATTGCCATCCCCCTGCATCCCCCCTCTGATCGATGCCTGAGTGCAGCTGTTTGTAAAAGGTGCTGGTGGGCGATGAAGGAGTGATGAAAGCAGTAGTCAGGATTGGTGTACGATTCGGTGTGAAGAAGCCAAACAGCAGACAAACGTTCTCCTCAGTTCTGTGTTTCTCCAGTAGAGAGAAATTCTGCCCTCAGTGTCACAGTCATGATCAGAATCTGAAATGAGGCTTTACTGCGGAGGGTCACACAGAGACATTCATTAAGGAGGAAAGGATTCCACCAAAGACTTTATAGTGCTGTCATCCAACTCTCTCTCTCTCTCTCTTTCACTCTCTCTCAGTTCCTCTCTGTTTCTGCTAGCTCTCTCGCTCCTTTCTCCAAGCTCCCTCTCTTCTTTCTCTTTTTTTCTAGTTTCTTTCTCCCTTTCTTTGTATCTCTGTCTCTTCTTTCTCCCACTCTTTCTTTCTCCTACCTTCCTTGCTTATGTCCCTCCCTTTCTTCCTTTTCTCTCACTTTCTCTCTTTCCTCTCTCTCTCTTTTGTCTTTCTTTTTTGTCTCACTCTTTCTTCTGTCTTTCTTTCCTATTTCCCTTTCTTCTTCCTCTTTCTCTTTCTCACTCCCTCTCTCTTTCCCCATCTCTTTTCTCTCCTTTCTCCTGTCTCTCTCTCTCTCTTTCATTCTTTGTCTCTCTCTCTATATTTCTTTCTCTAACACTCTTTCTTTCTCCTACCTTTCTTTCTTATTTCCCTCTCTTCTTCCTCTTTCTCTCACTCCCTCTCTTTCCCCTATCTCTTTCCTCTCCTTTCTCCTCTCTCTCTCTCGCACTCTCTCTCATTCTTTGAGTCTCTCTCTGTTTCTTTCTCTAACACTCTTTCTTTTTCCTACCTCTGTCTATCCTTGCCTGCCCCCCTCTATTTCTTCCGTTTCTCTCTATCTCTTTTGTCCTTCTCCTCTCTGCTCTTTCTTTCTCTCTCGCTCTCATTCCTGTCCCTCCTTCTGTTTCTTCTAGATTGCTCACTCCTCTCTCTTATCTCTCCCTCTTAATTCTTTCTCTTGCTCTTTTCTTTCTGCTGTCTCCCTCCCTTGTTTCTCTCTCTTTCCCTGTCTCCTATCTCTCACTCTCTTTTTCTTAGTTCTCTATTTTCTGTCTCTTTTATTCTCTCTCCTCTCCTTTTTTTGTATTCCACCCTCTGATTTCTGTTTTTCTTACTTCAATCTCTCTCATTCTTTCTCCACTCTCTTTTTCTTTCTCCTACCTCTCTCTATACTTGCCTGTCTCCCTCTCTTTCTTCTTTCTCTCTCACTCCCTCTGTCTCTCACTGCTCTATTTTCTTATCTTTTTCTCCTATTTTTCTCCTACCTCTCTCTATACTTGCCTGTTTCCCTCTCTTTCTCCTCTTTCTCTCGCATTCTCTTTCCTCTCTCCCTGTCTCCTATCTATCTTTCTCTTCTTATCTCTTTCTCTCTCTTTCTTTCTCCTACCTCTCTCTATCTCTCTCTTTCTTCTCTTTCTTTTGCTCTCTTTTTCCTCTCCCTGTCTGTTTTGTCTCTCTGTCTCCTATCTCTCTCTCCACCTTTCCTATCTTTATTTTTGTCTCACTCTCTTTCCTCTCTCTCTGTCTCTTTGCCTCTCTCTCTCTCTCACTCTCTCTGTCTTTTTCTCTCAGTCTCATTTCTCTCGTTATCTCTTCTATCTTTCTTTTTGTCTTGCTCTCTTTCTTTCTCCTAGCTCTCTCTATCTTCTCTCCTCTCTAATGTCTCCTCTCTTTCTGTCTTTAACATATCTTTATTGGCATGAATATTACAAGGTACATTATTCTCAAAGCCATTAACATAAAAACATAAAAGAAAAATAGAAAATGGTCATTAACAGAGAAAGACAGAGCTATTCTTTTCTTTCCTTATTGGTTGTTCTTTAGGTTGTGAGAGGTAACCATAAATCCTGCTGTGTGTATGATCAGTTTGCTCTTCTCTAAAGCAGACACAGCCAGTTTTTCCTTTAGTGCAGCATTCTAGAAATGCTACTTCTTACTGCTATTTGTAACCGAATTAGATTGGGAGCGAACTGTTCTGAACTGCAGGTCAGTAAGAGCAGTCAGTCCTCTCTGTGGTGCCAATGGTGGCCAGTTTCAGTGGCCAGGCTGGCCTACTCTCTACATTTTGAAGTTTTTTGTGGTCAGATAGGCTGTCAATGTGCGATCTCCTTTTAGGGACGAATACCATTTATAATATTAAACATTTATTTGTTTGGCCGATGCTTTTATTGAAAGCAATTTACAAGCGAGGCAGTTGCTAGACAGTTATAGTCTGCAAGACATGTTCCTCGAGGCAAAACGCTACTTTCAGGTGCACCCACTGCTGACATGGGCATTCAATTTCACACAGTTTACATAATCTCCATAGAAAAACATTGCAAACAGAATCCAGTGCTCTGGAACAACCACACAGGTGCCTAAGGTCACCATGCCCAATACTACGCATCAGCAAGTGGGGTATAAAGACCCCCGGCAATGGGCTGGAACTGCATTGTCTGGAGTGATGAAGCACAATCCAATACTTTTGGGATTAGTAGGAGCGGCATTTGTGATTCAGAACTAATCATCCATCATCAGTACTTGACTTCGCTAATGCACTTATGACTGAATGCAATCAAATTTTAACAGCAATGTTCCAACATCTAGTGTAAAGGCTTACCAGAAGAGTAGAGGCTGTTACTGCAACAAAAAAGGGACAAAATCCTTATTAATACCCTTGATTTCAGGAGAAACATGAAAATGAGCAGGTGTCTAAGTAAATGTGTAATATAAATGTAATGTAAATGTCTGTTTGTCACTGTTTGGAGAGGCCTGGTTTTTTAGGAGAGTAGTAATTTTGAGGCTCTTTGGTCTTTTCTAAAGTCAATAGATTTCAGGTCACTGACACTCAGATCTGCTTTATAAATGGAGTGTGTGGAGTTCTTTAAGTTTTACATGATTTTAGTAATCTTTCCTGAATGTCAAACAGTATATTTTCCTTCCGCCCCACCCGCCCCCCCAGTGTATTTAGAATTATTCAGTGTTGATGATCCATAAAGCAAAGCCCTGACCTTCATCCAATCTCTCACCATCAGCAAGACTACAGCCAAGCTGCTCTCACTGTCGGATCCAGAGCTCAAAGAGCAGCCGTATCTCTCTCGCACACACACACACACACACACACACACATACACACAGAGATAAGACTGAAAAGTGAGTCTCTTTCAGCTGAGAAGTGCAATGACATCAGTCAGAAGGAAGGGCATCATGAGATCACAGGTGCCAGTCTACGCACACACACACACTTGAGGTCATACAAATGGTCATACATATCATCACTGTTGTGCAAAAATCATCATATTTAATTTGCATAATTTGAAACGGACCAACAGAAATGCTCCAAAATGACTTGAAATGAAATCTCTTTACATCATTAACTTACATTATTACAACATTTTTTCTGCTCCATTTAGGAGATTCGAGTTCCAACAGCAATAATATGCATGTAGCTATGTGTAGTAATAATACAATAACATGCTTTGTTAATACACACATTCTTCCCTGAAAGTATTGGAATGACAAGGCCACCATTTGTTTTTGCTCTACACTGAAGACGTTTAGGTTTGAAATCAAAAGAATGACATGAGATGATAGATCATAATTTCAGCTTTAATTTCCTGATATTTACATCTAGATACGTTAACTTAGAACAGTTAGTAGGACATTAAAATAAATAACACTTAATATTTGGTTGCATATCCTTTGCTTGCAATAACTGCATGAAGCTGGTGGCCCTCTGACATCACCACACTGTTTCAAA